TAGACTTATTCTACGCGGGTTTGAGCTGTTTTGCTGAACCATAGTTTTACAGGACTCACACTGGAACGCTTCACTGCACAAGTGCAATTTTTTCAAAGTTAAACTTGCATTAATTTTACATGGCTTTCTAAACATGCGGCTCTTTTGTGCGAGACGCGAGTGTAACAGTGATAGATGTCCCTCTAGAAAATGCGCAAAACACGCGTTCTGTGTGAACGGCTTTGTTTCAGTTTTGATTTCGACGAATATTCGAAATTCGAATTTTTTTTGACAACCCTTCAACACCGTATCGCATGAGCTACCGACCCATACATATGAGGCTGTGTATGTGAACTGCATGAAAATAAGACTTTATTAATGAAGATTCTGCCTCTGTAATCAAGTTTTTGTGAAAAGCGTTCATTGAAGCTGTAAAATTCTCCCTGCATAACTCTATAGTTAGAATTGGATATTGAAAAAAACTCAACTACTAATGTTGATCACATGTTTTTATATTCTCTGTACTCTTTAAAGATTTAACTATTAATAGAGGAGAATTAAATTAATGTATTACCAGCAAAAGAATAATTCCGCAATTGTGTTTGAATTGAGAAAATCTTTTGGCCATAAAAACTTTCTATTGGCCATTAAAGTTTCATCTTTAAGCTATTTTTTTTATTGAGTTTTGTTTTAGTTGTGCTTGCTTAACTTCAACAAACTGCTTTGGAGATGTTAGTAAAAACAAATTAGGACAAAAAAACATCAGTTGGTGACGTTTTCAGAAATTGCACAGCAACCACTGAGCTTGTCTTTGGGCGACTGTTTGAATCTCTACAAAAATGCAATTACAATGATATTTCATGTGGAGAAGACCATTCGCTTTTAGACAGTCGTGATTTTGCCTCCTGTTTTGATGAAATAAAGCGTTGCATTGCACCTGCAGTCATCTCTATGTGAATCAGCACACTGTTGACAACTCTCCGAGTCGCACATGGCTGGAATATGATTTCGTCAAAGAGCTCTTGACCACAGCCACTACAGCCCAGCAATTTACATGTAGCGTAAAACCACCACACCATTCACATTGGGGAAAAAAAAACAGCTCCATCAAGAGCTACTTGAGCCAAACAGCTCTGCTTATTCAGATGTGTACTTCCACACTAAATTATCACATCAGACAGAACGATGAGTGTGTTCTGTACATTATAGCATAGTTAAACCAGATACAGCGTGTTCCATGCACATGGCATTTTAATATGCTTTTAAATGTGAGGGAAACAAAGACGATCACTTTACTGTGTGCCAAGAATGAGTAGAAAAATGTGCTGTGTGCCAGAAAGAGGAAGTATACAGCTTTCCTGAAGGGTTTACTTACACTGTAACAGCACCACAAATACTATTAGAACATGGCTATAAACCTCTAGAGGACACCATAGGAGCACTTCTCAAAACACACCCAGGTTAAAATGTGGTTTGTGCAGACAGCTTGAGACCATGTTTTGAGACCAATATGCCTAAAAATGCCATCTACATATACAGCTCAAACCATCATGCACAAGAATGCCATCTAGGTTAGCAGCACACTCGAGGTTATTATGACTATATTCTTTCTATGTTGGCAGCTTATGTTTTGAGGCTACAATGCCAGAAATGCAATCTAGGTAGGCATCTCACTAGGTTTTGAATCCATGACGCCCAAAAATCCAGTCTGCTCTTAAAAATAAAGATTCCAAAACTAGGCTTTTCCAGTGATGCCATAGAACAGTGGTTCCCAATCCTGGTCCTGGAGAACCCCCAACACTGCACATTTTAGATGTCTCCCTATTCAAACACACCTGATTCAACTCATCAGCTCATTAGTGAAGACTCCAAGACCTCAAATGTGAGTGTCAGATAAGAGAGACACCAAACACGTGCAGTGTTGGGGGTTCTCCAGGACCAGGATTGGGAACCACTGCCATAGAAGAACCATTTTAGGTTCCCAAAAGAACCTTTCAGTGAACAGTTCCTAAACTAACCATTCCTTCTTGGTGTGAAGAACATTTAAATCATCTAAAGAGCACTTTTGTGCAATGGGAGGTTCCATGGATGTTAAAGGGTCTTCGTGGATCTGCAGATGCCAATAAAGAACCTTTATTTTGAGCGTAGGCAGCTCCCGTGGCACATGACTGGATCTTGAGACTACAATGCTTTAAATGCCATCTAGTTTGGCAGCTCGCTAGGTTTTAAAACCACAATGCCCAAACATGCCGTCTAGACGGTTCACTATGTTTTCAGACCATGATGACCCAAAATCCTGTCCAATTAGGCCGCTCTACTGAAGCGTTCACTTACACTGCAACACCATGACAAAAGCACGGCTAACACCAAAAACTATTCTAGAAGAACTGCTAATATCTCAGTTCTGTCAATTAGAGGATGATATCCAATCAATGGGAATACTTTTTTTTTTTAATAGGCAAAACATCAACTAATGCTCATGAACGTCAGCCTCAGGGGAGCAGATAGCTGGAGCTATCAGTGTGTGTAGATCTCAGGAAGTCTGTAAAAGCATGAATGGACGATGTGGCTCAGTCCCTCAGGAGAAGCCTGAGCTCTCTCCCCCTCCAGCCATGAAAAGCAATCAAGAAGCTGAACAATATCATATTGGACCTCACCTCGCTGTTTAATTACAGCGCAGCAGCCTGCCTCACTGAGCTTATCCATGGTCCGACAGAAAGACACGCTGCAATATATGACTCAAACACAGAAAATCACAGCTGTCGAAAAATGAAACACATCATGACCCAGTGGTAGGATGTGACACAAATGTAGTGTGGACAATGCAAATTATGGTAGTATATGGTTGAAATGATTGCTGGGACTATTTGGGTTTTCTAATGGCCAATGGATGATTTTAATAACCAGAGAGCAACTGATAACAGATCAATAGATGACAGATAGATAACTGATACCAGATCAAATCATTGTTTGTTGCAACCTAGAATTAAACAGCTGGTTTCGTCTGGCACACTATCTCCCTGTTTAATACTGTAAAGCTGCTTTGACACAATCTGCATTGATTGAAACACTACATAAATAATGGTGACTTGACTTGATCAATAATAGCTACGATAAAAGACTGCATTTAATAAATGTGCATGAGTGATATTTATGCCAAATTTCATTGCATTGATGATGGGCGCAGATGAGCCTATTGGTAGTTTTAGGAACTGACATAAATTTGGTTCAATGGCCACATATACGATTTAATGTTGATAATTTCAAAATGACAAAATTATAACCGATTAATCAGCTTTGATCTCACTAATTTACACATACTTGGTTTCTGTGACTCATCTAGGTAGATTCTAGCTACATAATCACTTAGCAAAACTGTTGTTGTAATGTGGCTAACAAGGGATTTTTGCTGCCGCAGTAGCTTAGTAGTAGTAGCTTCCAGAAATCCCTTAGGCCAAGGTCTTTCAATTAAACGCACAAAACAATACACTCACAACAACAGCGACAACGCTTGGAGTTCAACTCAAATCAATGCAAGTGAGCTGTTTCATAAAGAGATGCATGAAAACAAAAACAATGCGTGAATTTAAAAGAATGCTGAATAGTGAAGGATAAATCAGTATTCAGAAGCCAGAACTGGAATGTCATGGAATTAAAAAGGATAGAGAACAATCACAACAACAAAAAAGAAAAATGGATGCATTACAGCCGAGACCTTCAATTATTTCACTTTAACAAATATCTTTCTCGTGCAAGTAAATAAAGAATCTCACTTTGGCTCCGGGTTCAAATACTTCATGATGCCATCTGGTCCCCTCAAAAAACATTCATCCTCATAGCCATCATCTCTGAGGGCATTGTTGTGAAGACCATAGAGAAGAAAACCAGCAGACGTTATGACTAAACGCTGGAGAAAAGAACGAAAGAAAAACACTAGCCCATTGATAGACTTGTGACTCAGTGAGTGAGCGGCACAGATTGGGCTGACAGAGTGTTAAAAACTGCCAACGGATTCAATCGGAATGTGATTCAGTTCTTTTATAAGACTACAAACAATCAGTCGCCACAGATGATCAGATCTGCACTAACACAAGATTTCAGGCCCTCCGTATAATTCCTAAAATGCATCCTGGATCAAGCGTCTTTGGCACGTCCTATAGTCTCCCCAAATCTACTGACCCCCTCCCCGGGTGTCTCAAACAGAACCTGGACGGTCAGCAGTGGCCACTAGGTTCTGAGACCATCATGTCCACAAATGCTGCCCAAGTCAGTCAGTAATACTCAGACATGAAATTGTTACTGAAACCTAAAGAACTTGAGGTTGATAAGACGAATGCTGCATTTCTGTACTGTTACCAAATATGAATCTCGAAGGGACTTGTGCATAATGCATTTCAGTACTTTTTGGCACAAGACGATAAAAGCATTAGGCAAGAACACTTAACTAGACAGCATCTTTGGGCATATATAAGACTGTGCCTTTGATGGCCAAAATTGCTGTCTGGGTAGGCAGCTCACTATAGTTTTGAGCTATGATATCCAAATATGATGTCTAAACAAGCAGTCCGCTTACCAGTCCATGTGATGCCCTCCAAAAAAACGCAGTCTAGTTAGCCAACACTTTATGTTTTTTACACTAAAGCTCCCAAAAATGCCCTCTAGGTAGGAAACCATAATGTCAAGGTAGACCATGGTGACCAAAAGCATCTATATGAGCAGCTCTTGAGATCATGATGTTCCAATGAGACTATGGTGCCCAAACACGCTGTCTACATAGGCAGCTCACTAGGTTTTAAGAAACATGCCCGAAAATCGCTTGGTTTTGAGACAAGTGTCAGAAGTGTGCAGGGTTTCATGAGCCCAAAAGTAACATTACTACACACACTACGAACACCTCCTCCTCCTCATATCTCATAATACCAGCGCGCACTGTGTTGGAAGAGTCATGCAATGCATGCATATCGATAAAGTGATGCGTTTTCATCCGTATCTCATGCAGAACGGCACGCCGGATGACTTACCCGTTCCTTACGCGGCCAGATCAGTGCCTATTTCTAAACGCCGAGAGCTTTTAACGCCACAAAAGAGCTCGTATGTGGAAACAATTTCCGTGATCAGAGGCACTTGAGCATGTTTTCTCGCGCATCCCGGGCCTCCGTCAGAGAGCAGGTGGACGCGCCTCCCGTCAGTGATGGAGAACCGCGCTCCTCTATCGCTCCATCCGTGATGACAGCAGGAGCGTGTGTTCAAATCTCCGCTGAAGCGCTCTCATCTGCTCCAGCACGTCTCCATCAGTGAGTCAGGAGCTGGATGCTGCCATTGTTCCGCGCTGTGATGATGGGCGCAGTCTCGTTGCGCGCTCGGCTCGTGAGAGAGAGAGAGAG